CTATCTATCTATCTATCTATCTATCTATCTATCTATCTATCTATCTAAAATTTCAGCTCCTCACTTGCAGGGCTCCATTATCTGATCCCTCAAGAGGGAGGAGGCGACCACCGTTTCTTGGCCACCGTTGCCCCCCCCCCCCCACCCCGGGAAGGGTCCCCCAGGTCGCCTGCACCCTCTGAACGAACACCACATTCAGAGGTGAAAGACCAGGGGGGGGGCCTGGCTTGGGAGGCTGTCCTCTTTCAAGGGGAGGGGAAAGGCCAACCCCTAGAATCTGACACACCTTCCTACATGCAGGTGACTCTACATACATGAAGCGATTCAGCCCCCCCCCCCCCCCTGCCCTGGCTCCCTCCGGAGCATCTTTCTCTCTCCGGGGCTTCCTGAGGGAGACAAAAAAAAGCAACCCCTTTTCTCTCCCCCCCCTTCCTTACAGTGGTGGATTAAGGCTCCTTGGGGCCCTAAGCACTGATCAACCTCGGTGCCTCCCCTCCTTTGTACATACTGTACAAACGAAGCCCCTGTTCTGAGCTTTGCGGTGCCCCCTTTGGGCCCGGTGCCCGAAGCGCCTGCGCTTCCTTATCACCCTCCAAGGGGAAGGAACAACTTCCTAAAGCCACCTGGTCCCTGAGAGAGGCCGGCAGACCGCTGCACAGGGGCCCGAGGGGGGGGCCTCCCGGGCTGCGAAAGCAGGGGGGCGCCGGAGAGCTGTCCGGAGGGCCCTACACGGCCCCTCCCGCGAAGCAGAGAAGGGCACTCGGAGCGCCGGTCCCCCCGGCTTGGCTTGCCCTACAAGGACAGAACGAACGGCCTCTTCCTGCCGCCCGCTCGCCCGTTACCGGAGCTCAAGCTCGGAGACGCCGAAGGAGAGGCTGCCTATCTGCCCAGCTCTCGCCTCCCGTCGCTGCCCGCCGCGCTTGTCTTGCCAAGGAAGCCCCGCATCTCGGCCGGAGCTCGCGGGAGCCCAGCGCCCCGCTCCTCGGACCCAGCCGCCCGGGAAAGGCGCCGCCCGCCGCCCCGTGAGAGGCTCCCCTGGCTGCAGCGGGCGCATTCTCCCGTGCAGCCGCCTCTCCCCCCGTTTTGGGTCCCCGGCCTGGCAGGCGGGAAGGGGCGCCGGTCGCGTGGCGGCTCAAGGGCTGCTGCTGCTGCTGCTGCTGCCACCGCTCGTGCCCGTGCCGGCCGGGGCGGCTGGGGCCTGGCAGCCGGCGAGAGCTCCGTCCCGGTACCTGTCATCCCGCACTCGGTCCTGCCGGCCGGCCGCAGCCCAGGCGCTTTCGCTCGCGCTGCCCGGCCTGCGTTTCGTAATTTCCGCCTTCCATCCCGCCGCGGATGGGAAAGAGCGAGAGCCGAAGGCCGCCGCCGCCAGAGCCTCTCCACACATTCCAGGCGCCCCAGGTGAACACGGAACTCCGCTGCCGGCCCAGGGGGGGCGGGCTCCCGATGCCTCCCCCCCCCCCCCCCCCGCCCCCGGGGAGCGGCGCGCCCGGGGCGAGCCGCCCGAAGCGGGCCGGGGGCGGGAGGAAGGTGGCGGGAAGTCCAGGGCACCTTCAGCAAGGCAGAGCCCAGACCTGCTTGCGCCAAGAACCGTCGCGCTCCCACTGACAGGCGGGCCAGCCTGCCGCAGCCTTCCCGGGAGCCCGGCCGCAGGGACCCCTGTCTCCCGCCCGCGCTTTCCGGAACCCTGCACGGCGAGGGGGGCGATGCACACCGTCCCGGCCGAAGCCCTCCCCCCTGCCGGCCGGCCGGCTGACAAGACACACTGCCCCCCGCCCCCCCCAACTCCCGCTCCGCTCCCCCCCGGGAAGACGCGGCGGTCCCACCTCGCCGTGGTCGCTCCTTCGGCCCTGCGGCGTGTCCTCCGGGAGGAAATAAAGTTTGGAGCTGGATAAAAGTTGCCGGGAGGTCCGCTCCTCCCAGAGCAGCTGCAGCTCCGCTATGCAAATGGGGTCTTCGGCCCGGCACCGCACAAAGAAAAAATCGCCGAGGGAGAGGATCCGCACTCGGCCGTCCAGGTGGAGCTGAAACGCCTTGTAGAAAATGTACGGTCCGTGCAAGCCGCACGGCGAGCCGACCCACTGCAGGGGGGGAGGGGGGAGGCGGAAGGGAGGGGGAAGAGGGAGAGAAGCATCAGCCCCCGCAGAGCCATCTCCAAAACACGCGCCCTCCCCCGCCTGCCCTCCCTCCCTCCCTCCCCCGGCCGCCGGATCGGATCGGGTCGGGTCTCGGGAGAGGCGACTCGGGGCCAGGCGGGGCGGGGGCTGCGGGCTGGCCGGCTGCCCTCTGTCCGGCGGGCAGGGACCCGACCGAGGCACCCCCATCCTGTCCCCGGTCGGGGAGACCAGCCAGGGGGGTGGCAGCTCCCGGGGAAAGTTCCCGGAAAGTTTGGGGGTCGGGGGTCGGGCGCGGGGCGCGGGGCGCCGCCAGGAGGGGCGGAGGAGGACCGAATACCTGGACTGAATTGGGCTCCATCTCGACGCTCTGAATTGATTGAACTCAACATTCTCCAAACTTGTTGGCTTGAATGGATCGCATCAGGTCCTGGCAGGGAAAAGCGATGTCTCCCCGCCGCCGCCGGCCAGCCTCGGTCGAAAAGCCGAATCCCCCGGCCCGGGGCCGCCTCGGACAGCCAGCAACGCCCCGCGGCGCCTCTCGCCGCCTCCCCATTGCCCAGCCGGGGCGCAATCCGGGCCCTCCTCGCCGGCTGCCGTCCGCCTGCCCCGGCGCTGCGGTTCAAGGCGCGAGCCCGGCACTGCGGGGAGGCGAGCGGGTCGAAGCGGAATCGGGCTCGGGCTTCTTCCTTAAAATCTTACGCTGCCCGACTCCCCCGAGCTCCCGACTCCCCCGAGCTGCCCGCCAGGACCCCGAGTGCCGAACCAAACCGCCGCTCCATTTTGCCGAGCCGAAAGGCGGTCTGGTGAAGTCTTCATCTGACAGGACCTGCTTGTATATCTCTAATATAAAGAACATTTCCTGCCGGGAGTCGGAGGCGCTGTTCTTCTTTCTAATTCTCTGTAGCAGATTTGCTTTTATTAGACATGTAGATGGGTTTGATAGTTAAATTACGTTTCCTTGGTGCCATATTCCGCGCCCCCCCTCCCTCCCTCCCTCGGCGGAATTTGGTCGCTTAGATTAGCCGCCTGGCGCTAATATTTCCATCTAAAGGCGGGGGGAGGGAGACGGGGGGGGGAATCGATTAAATAAACATATAAATATTAATGCATTTGTTTGCTTTTGCGCGCACACACACACATACACACACACAGCCCAGAAGCCCAGAGGCGTGGTGTGAGCGGACACCCACGGAAGCGCAGCGATCACGGGATCCTGCCAGCGATCTCGAGGAGCGGATCGAATAATCAATCAATATTGGGGCACTGCGCGGCGCGTGGGGGCTTCCCCGGCAGCGCGCCCTGCGCCCCCCCTTCTTTGCCCCTGGAAGTCTTGGGCACACACGTACACACAGTTACGTGTGTACAATGCGCATTTCCGGCAGGGGCACGCCGCCGCCGCCGCCGCCGCGAATGTGTTTATACATCTAAGCGGTGCGGAAAGCGCAGAGGGGATGTGTGTGTGTGGGGAGGGAGAGGTGGATCTATTTGGAGGCTCGTTCAATGGCCCCCGACATTCAAGCCGAGCGGGAGGCAGGCGGGGCTGTTCTCGCTCTTGCGGACCCGCTGCAGACCCAGGCATTGAGCAGAAACTTAGGAGCCGCGATGCCCCCCCCCGCAGCCCCTGGAAGACGCCGCTTCAGAAAATGGTGCAGTTGCGTTAGTAGCCCAGAGCTCCCGTAGTCGATCGCCTTCCCCGCCCCCGTACAAGGCGGGGGGCGGGGCGGGGGAGAGAAATACACCGCCGCGATGTCTTCGTTCAGAGAAATAAATGTCTGTACAGTAGATGACAGTTGTAATCCGAGCCATGATCGAATTACAGGATGTCGAAAGGCGCTTTCGCAACGTTTTACCCCGAAGTCGCCGCATCCAGCTGGAAACAGGATGGCGGTAGAATAAAAACTGGAGCCACGTGACCGCCGGAATAAATCGCCGGGACGGGCGGGACGGGGGATTTCAGCCTTCTCCCTCCCGGACCCCCATCCCATCCCCGCATTGGCGCCGTTTCTCCCGGGGCGCGGCGGGGAGAGCAAGCGGGGGCGCTTCGCCAGAGGCTGCCGGAAACTCTGCCGCTCATTTGGCGGGCCAGACGGTCCCGACGCGGGAGGCAAAGGCGAAAGAGGCCGCTTTAGCCGCCCTTCGTCCTCCCCGCTCGCGGCCTTGAGCTCCGGATCCCCGGTCGGAGGCTAAATCCGCTGCCCCGACGGGAGGTTTCAGGGTTTTGGACGGCCGAATTCCCGCTCTTCGAAAGGCGGCCCGAGCTTGGCTTCCTCGACAGTAAAGGGCAACTTTCTGAGGGATTTGCTTCGGAAAAGCCACGTTCGGCCTCTCGCGACTCTGCTGTGGTTAATTTCTACCCCTTGATTTCCAGCGGCCTCCGCAGTTTAGCCGGGTGCCGTGCAAAAGTTCCCGAAGTCCCCCTCCTCTCCTTCCCTGATCCGGGGTCTCCTCAGTCCTTGGCCCGGGTTTCTAGAAAATTCGGGGATCTGGAACATTTTCCTCAGCGGGTCTTGGCGTGAGCCCCCCGCCCCCCGGCGCCCCAGGAGCAGGAGCTAAAAGCTTTCCTTTGAAAGACGCTTCGGAGCGAAGCGCCCCTCAACGCTTCCCCGGGACGCTCTGAAAGCTGAGGGGCGCTGCCGTTTCCCCGCCAAGATCCCGGGGCCCCGAGTGGGCTGGGCTCGCAGCAGGTGCCTTTCTTTCGCGGACCGCAGCGAGGGAGTCGCGTGGGAGGGCTCCCCTCCCCTCCCCCCCCCGTCCTCTTGTTTGCTCGGAATCCCGGCAGTTGCGCGGGCCAATTCGGAATAAGCTGCCCGGTCCCTCAGCCCCGGCCTCCTCCAACTTCCAAGCCCTGGCGCTCCGCCCCCGTTGAATTTCGCCGCTGCGCGCACCTGTAAACGACCTCCCTTCAAACAAAAAAACCCGCGCAGAGCAAGTTCCAATGAAGAGAAGCCGGTTGCTCTCTGCAGCCGCGCGCTTCGTCGCATGCTTGATTTCGGCCTGCGAGTGAAGAAAAGAAGGGCCATTCGAGGCCCCCATCAGTCCCCCCCCCACCTGACGGGGGGGGAAACCCCCCCCCCCCCCCGAAATCAGGCCTCTTTCCGCCAGTGGAGCTGGGGAGCGTTTAATGCCGCCGCCTGCGCTCCACGACCCCTTCCCCAAAACGGCCCCGGCTTCCATTAGAGCAGGGCTCTCCAACCTTGGCCGCTTTCAGCCTGGCGGACTTCAACTCCCAGAAATCATGGCTGGGGAATTCTGGGAGTTGAAGTCCGCCAGGCTTAAAGCGGCCAAGGTTGGAGAGCCCTGAATCCGAGGCGAGCTTCACCTCGCGCGGGAGGGAGGCTACGGAGAGGTTGGTAGCGGAAGGCGGCGGCCGTCCCGCTCTTTGCCTCGCATTCCACGCGGGGATCGCCGTGACTTTGGCCAGGCTTCGGGGGGTGCAGCTGTCGCTGACCCGGCCGGATTTCAGCACCGCTCGTGGTCCAGCGAAGAGGTGCCTGACAGACGCCTCGTCCCTTCCCTTCTGAGGCGGCTGGGAGTGGGGCCGGGCTCCACGCGCAAGCCTCTCTCGGCCGCGGGGCTCGCGGCGGGGGTGTGTGTGTGTGCGTGCGCGCGCGTGCGGAGAGATTTGGGGCTGGCAGCCCCCCCCCTCCTCAGGGCTGCGGAATAACTCCGGGCGAGTTGCGCCTACAAGAACCGCCGGACGTCGCGGCCAGCAAGACAGGCGAGATTCCCCGCGGAGCGGAGTTGGAGAAGGAGCAGGGACGGGACCGACCGCGCCTGCGCTCCACGCCGGCAGGGCAAGAACTCGCGTGGACGTGACCAGCCCAACGAGGCCAGCTCGCCCTCCCCGGGGGAGAAGCAGCCCCCCTCAGGCCGGCTGCGCCGTCACTCCGCCGCGCGAGGGTGCAGAGGCGCTGAGACCGCCGAGGATCCGGCGCAGGAAGGCCGTCCCCGAGCCGCCCGGTCTGGAGAAGGGACCAAGAGCGTCTATGCCGCGCCTCGCCTCGCGCCCCTTCCTGCCTTCCCCGCCGTGGCTGGAAGAAGCGGCGCGGCGCCGGGATCGGTCCGGGCGCAGAGCTCAGGATCGCCGCCCAGACCCGGGCTGCCCCTCGCGCTTCTGTCGCGCCGCGCGCCCTTTCGCCCTCCCAGAGGACGTCCGGAGCCGCGGTGGAGCCAGGACTGGAGGGGGGGCCTCTTCTGACCCCGTAGACGGGGCCGGACCGGGATACGGGAGCATCCGAATCACGAAGAGGCTTCGACGGGTGGCGGCCCATCGGATCCTGGTTCTTTCCGCCTGCGGACCGGGGCCCCTTTTCAGCCCTACGTGCCTGGGGGCTGATGCTGCTGCCGCCGCCGCCGCCGTTGCCCCATCCTGCCAAGAGGAAGCCGCTCCAGCTGCCGCCGGCTTCAAGCCACGGGACCCTGGCGCCTCGCTTGCCGTGCGAGAGCCCCTTTTGCGGAGCGGCTGGGCTCGGGGGCCCCGGCGTCCCCGTTTGGGACCGGCATCGTTCCTGGGGCCAGGGGGCTCCCGCTCAGCAGGGGCGTTTTGCAAGGGCGGCTGGCACCTGCACCCCTCGGGGCCACCTGCAGCATTGCTGAGTGTCGCCTCCCCCGGGACGTGGACGGAGCGGAAGGCGCGGGCGAATGGATGGGGGAGCTCTCGGCGTCTCGCCGCGGGGCACTGAAGCCAGCGCGGCTGGGAAGGATTCCCCGGTCCCTCCGAGACGCCCCGGAGCCAGGAGAAGCAGATCGGCGAGCTTCGCCCTGCCCAAAGGTCCCGAGGCTGCGTCCCTGGCGAGGGGTAGCACCCCGGCGGCCTCGGGCCCGGACAGGGAGCCCTCTTGGCCGTCCGGCCGTGGCAGATGGGGAGGGCTGGCCAGGGAGGTTCCTTGGTTACGGTGTAGGGGAGAAGGTACCCAGGAAAGGCGTCTTCTGGAGACAGGTGGGAAGGCCTCGGCGTATATTGGGGGAGGCCCACCCCGCCTTCTTGCAGTCTTTGCCGGGAAGTCCCTGGCTTCTGCCTCGTCCCTGCTTGGCTGTGCTGCGATCAGGTGCCGAGTTTTCCGTGTCCAGAGGAGAAGCAGCATCTCTGGATGGTTTCAGCCTGACTGAGGTTCAGAAGGAGTTTAATACCTGGCCGGGATGGAAAACGCCTGTGAGCTCCAGAAACGCCGGAGAACCTAGGGGCTGAAGTGGGAATCCTCCGTGGAGGCTCTCTGAGTTGGGCAGTTTGGTCATTCCAGCTCTCCTGGTCCTCACCCTCGGCCCGCAGGGGCTGAGAATCCATCATCAACCAATCAGAATAGAACTGGAAGGGACCTTGGAGGTCTTCTAGTCCAGCCCCCTGATCAAGCAGGAGACCTGACACCACCCTCAGATGAGTGACTGTCCAGTCTCTTCTTCAAAGCCTCCAGTGATGGAGCTCCCACGATGTCTGAAGGCCAGCTTGTTCCACGGGTGAATTGTCCTCACTATTAGGAAGTTTAGGTGGCTTCTCTCCTTGATTAGTTTCCATCCCTTGTTTCTTGCCCTGCCTTTTCTCTTGTCTCTTGTCTGGCCTTCTGGAGAAGATGATTTCTGGGACATTGGAAGGACCACAAGCATGTGCTCCCTCCTTCCCCAATTTTGTTCTCGCTGCTGTTGAGCGTTTGATATAAATGGATTTTTCTTTGCCACTTTGTTTTTGCAAAAAGATAAAATAAAAATAAATCTCCAAACCAAGGAAATCCAAGCACCAGTGAACTCCTGAATCTCCCTGGCT